GGAGGGAAGGGGCTGGTTGGGGAGGTGATTTCCTTTGACAAATTCTGGAAATGTTTCTTTTTTATATTTCTTGGGTTCTATATACAGGACTAAGTAATAAAAACTTGTCTATGATATGGTCTCTTTCAGGATAATTGCTAAACCTTGGAGCATAATAGGGGAGGATTTCTGTCCGTCTCCCTTCCAGGAGGGTCACCAGAACACGGGTCTGAGAGATCTCTGCCCTGGGAGATCTCCCAGGCTGGGGGAGGGGGGAACACGACACACACATGCAGGTGACTCATTTGTGGGCAGGGGTGAAAACCCCACCACCACATAGCATGATGGTGCCTGGCACACAAGCAGTGCTCACTCAGTGCTCTTCCTAGCAAGGTGTGAGACACCATGGGGATGTACTTGGACGTCTCTGGGCAGTGAGGCTCCTGAGCCGCTGGTTTGGCATGACATTTGTTCATTTAAGCAGTACCTACCAGGGCGTGAAGGCCTCACTGTCTAGTCCATTCAGTAACCAGGTGATGGCAGTACAGTGTGAAGAGCCTCAGTGGGTTACCTCGCAGCTGGAGTCTAGAGGAGAGCTGTCTGGCCATGTCAGAGCCTACCACAACTCCATCACACTTTCCAGGACCTGAGGGAACCTCCACCCGCTACAGCCACCAGTTACTGTTGAGTCAGTTCCTACTCCTGATGACCCCATGTGGTAGAGGAAATTATTCTCCACAGGGGTTTCGGTGGCTAAGTTTTGGGCAGTAGAATGCCAGGCTGGGGCATCTGTGGATGGACCTCAACATCCAACCTTTCAGTTAGTAGTAGAGTATTGAACTGTTTGCACCAGGGACCCCTCTCATAGGGCACTACACTCACTCTTCAAATATCTTGGTGTCCTTTTCCATTAAAACAAATGTCTGCCCGTGACTTTAAAAACTGTTGAATGCCTGCAACTATGCCCCGATTGAGCTGCTGGACCCCCCTGGATTTGGGGGTGTTGGAGGGAAGTTGGAAACTCACCTGGTTCATGAAGAACCCATGATCCCACCAGCATCTGGGGAGCAGATTGTGGGTATCTCAAGCCTAGACCCAGGGAATAGGTTTTGACCAAACTACTCAAATCAAAGAAAACAAAACACTTGTTTCTCTATTTCCAATACATTACACCTGCTCCCAATTCAGGACTCATCTTTGCCCCCTTCTCTCCCGTCCACCTTGACAATTGGAGGGGGCCCTGCCACGTAAGTCAGTTACATTCTCCCATGTAACCTTTTCCTTGGATTTGAAGAATCCTTGGAGATCTCCATCTGATGGCTCCTGAGAGATTGTGACATACAGTATGTGCCGTGGGCACTGACACTGGTATGTGGAGCTGGGCTCCTGATATCCTGGTGTCAAGCTATGTTTGTCCTTCACCGTATCCAGTAGCTGAGGATCAGAAAATGCAACCAAGTCCGGAAGACAGATTAGCATTGGTGGGGGCGGGGCGCGATAGGTAAGGCAATGCAGACAGCGATTATAAAACCCACTGCTGTTGAGTCCATTCGGACTCACAGTGACCCCTGCCCTGTTGGGCTTCCAAAGCTGTCCATGTTTAGCAAAGCAGACTGCCATCTTTCTCCTGCGGGGAGTTAGAGCTGAGTGCTCTAACTTAGCAACCAGGGCTCGTAGGAATTCTAAAGAATGGGAAAATACTAATCCTGGAAAGGGAGGAGGCACCTGAGCCAAAGCAAATTGGATTCCAGATTCTGATGAAGTAGGAAGCTCCTTTTGGCCCCAAATTGATTGTCTCTCGCAGTTTTGTCTGTGCATTTCTGAAGCCACGTGAATTATTGCATATTGAAGTCTCAGGCACCTATGTGTTACGCTGAATTTGAGGTCTGAGTCAACAGTTGTCACGGTGCATGAAATTAGAAAAGCAAAGCAGACATACAGAGAGCCAGCGCACACATTGAGACAGACTTCGCTTTTCAGTGGAGGTAAGACGTGTAAACTCACTTTGGCCATGGTGGTGGTGGTGTGCCGTTGAGTTTGTTCCAACATATAATGTCCATGTAGGATCTCCAAGACCGTAAATCTTTACAGGAGCAGAATCTCATGTGTCTCCTATGGAGTGGCTGGTGGATTGGAACTGCTGACCTTATGGTTAGCAGCCAATGCTTACCCCACTATGTTATCAGGGCTCCTTACATACACCATAATGCTTCACTAAGCCTCTTTTTCAGAACATCAGACAAGATTTTTTTGCTTGAAGAAAACTATTGTCCTCATTCTTCAAGCAAAAAGGTCTGATGCTCTGACAGACTTAGGTGAGACATTATCACACACACCAAGAACTAGCCCTTCACACAAGTAAGAAGGTAGTGCATTTAGGCTTCTTTCAACAGGAGCTGTTGGCATTTTGTAGAACTCAGGAGCTTTATAGGACAAAAAAGGTGAATGTAGGTAAAAGATAAGGTCTTCTGCTCATGTAGAGATTTAAAGCCTCAGAAACCCTACATAGGGTTGCTATGAATCAGTACTGACTCGACAGCACTTAAGTGTTTATTGGTGCTCAAGCCCACCCAGGCACCTCAGAAGAAAGGCCTGTGATCAACTTGTGAAAACCCAGCCACTGGAACCCCTGGGGAGCACACCGTGCTCTGACATACGTGGGGTTGCCTGGGTTGGGACTGACCCAACAGCATCTGGTTGGTTTTAGTCTTGAATTCCTTGATAGAGCCTTGGAGTCCTGGTGTAGGTCAAGTCTCCGGGCCCCGTCATCCCTTCAACCAAGAACAGCTCTGCTTTTATTAGCGTTATACACACAGCAGAGGGTGCAAACCACATTGCCCACAGGGATCTGATAGGTAGTAACAGCAAATAATGTAGGGATCGTTTGAACTGGAAAAGGAGTCTCTAAAGGACAGGGAAATCTACTACTTAGCTTGCTGACTGTGGAGTTCTGGCCAGATCTTGTATTTTTGAGGTGAGCAATCCATTTTTTTGAGTGTGCATGAAATCCTAAGTTTGAAATTAAATAGTAATACAAAAAATAACAGGCTAAAAGTATGACAGCAGGCCTTTTGGTTTGTGGACTAGCATTAAGACTTGAAATTTCTTTGCAGCATTCTAACATGGATAATAATCCTGTGATGGGGACCTTCCAAATCAGCCCCTCTTGTGGAATGAAGGATCCCTGGACCTCATTCACCCAGCAGGCATTTATTAGGCACTCCTACATACTGTGCACTTCCTACACTCAGGTTCATTTAGGCAGTGGAGCAAACAGAGTCCGGCTGGGTATGGTACACTGGAGCCTCCTAAGGGTCCCCTTGTAATACTGGTAAGTGCAGAAACCCTGGGCTCCACGGCTCTGTAACCAGACTACTTATACTTCAATGAGTTGAATCCAAAGGGGCTCCTCTTCCACACTGGTAGTGCCAGATGATCTGGCGAACTGATCACCCAGCATGCTTCCTCCTCAGGCAGAACCTTCCCCATGCTCATCTCCGTGCAGTGACGCTTCTCGGAAGGCAGACCTAGTCCCAGAACTCGGGAAGGGTTCAGGAAGCGTGTTTACAGAATGAGCCTTGCCTACACAGGTAAACTACAGATAGCCAGGTCTTGTCCTCCCTGATGGAATGAAGCTGTGGGGTTACTACGCTAGATCTGGGGGGTGAAGTTCCTCCAACCTGAAGTCAAGGTTTTCACATCTTAGGAAAGAAGCTGAAGCTTTTTCCTGGCATGGACCCCCTCCCCAGCAGTTTCAGTTCCAAAATGGTTCCCCTAGTCTGGGTAGCACAACTTAGAGATGACAGGTTAGCTGAATACAAAATAACACAAAACAAAACACCACCATTTATTGACAACAATAACTTTCAGTTCTGCTGAAAAAAAAAAAAAACAAAAAACGTAGAGATACCATTTCTCAGGAAAACAATATGTACAAAAGTCTCAGGGAAGGGAGGATAAAACCACCTGAACGAATACAGCTTAAACAGAATTGACTCACTAGAATGGTCATGTAGTAAAATCACACAAAGAATAACAGAGCCACTGGTGAGAAAAGGGGTGGACCTTCACGCCTGTGGTGGGGCATAGTCTCCATACTCTTGGGATCCATCCTGTGACTCTTTGTGACAGGCTGGCTGGGATATAGGGTCTCTCCGAGGACTGCCACATAAGTAGCTCATGCCCAGGGCATACGCGGGACCCATGGAGCGCAGCCACCAAAGTACTCCTGCTGCTCCAGTAGGCTCCAGTCTACAGACCAGGCAGGGACCACTGGACTTAAAAAGGGACTCCCTCCAATCCCCACCACTAAAGAGGTAGAGGAGCAAGATGTGGAAGCTGCCTCCGAACTGATTTTTGGTCTTCAGTAAACACAAATAAACACAAAACACTTTCCCCCAAGAGTCAGAGCTAATGGGCATGGCAGGTGAGGTGCCACGGCTCCACTGAGTACCCATAGGAGGAGAAATGGGCTGGGTGTGTGAGTGACAAGGACTGTGTCCTACTGTCGTGATCACAGCGGCGACACGTCCTGTTCTGCTGTCCAGGGCCCCCTGCCCCATCCCCAGAGTCTGCCCTCCCATGGCCCAGAGCACTCACCTCTCTGAGGCCAAGTTTCCCAGCCTCAAGCAGAGTGGGAGGGTCCTCAGATGAGGGTGAGTGGGCAGTCTTCCCAGGAACAGGAGGTTCTTGCGAACCACCTCCTCTGGAGGCAGGGCAGGGCAGGGCAGGGCACACAGTATGCTGACTAAAAGCAGGAAGACAGGAAGAACTTGGCTGGGAGAATGACAGGAAGTTTTGAGTTCATGGACCAGTAGGTAGTGTCAGGGGTCACCCAGGTTGGAATGCATGAGGCCAGAAGCAGTAGCAAAGCTTTATCTAATGAAGGGGACAATGTCCCTCTTCCCAAAGTTCCTAAGAGGATCACAAACAAACAATAAGCATGAAGGGAGGAGGTCTCTCGAGGGTCCGAGAGGCGCCCACTGAAGGGCCATCCTGTTTGGCTTCCTGCCACAGCAGCCTCACTTGCGGGACTGTATGGTACTGCAGATCTGGGCAAGGCGGCTCTAAAAAGAAAAGGAGATGGGAAATTGAGGGAAGATGGCACTTGGCATGCTTCCCATGGTGGGTTTGGAGTTAGGCAGGTCTATTCATAACACACACCTTTGTGACCTCCAGTTTCTTATCTGCACAAACAAGTAAATAACGTCTTAAATGAGACTGTTGTTAAGTGTCATTGAGTCAGTTCTGACACATGATGACTCTGTACAGGGTTTCCGAGGAGCTGTGGGGGAGTTTCAACTGCCCACCTGCGGTTAGCAGTCCAGTGGTGCTGCACAGTGAAGGGAAATTTGGGAACAGGAATCTAGCTAATGAAGACTGTCACAGGACTTGGGCTGCTGGTGTATGTGAATATTAGCACTTGGTCTACGTTCGGTAGCTCTGTTGAATAGTTAGCTCTGCCCTTGGTGCCACCCTGGAATGCACCCTTCGCAGACGCCACAGAAGGGTGGGCCTAGGTGGTCATGTTTACAATAAGTACTCCCAGCTACCAGGGATGACCATCTGACCAAAGTGAGCCAATTAAGTGCTTCCTCTTGAACAGAACAATAGAGATAAAAGTTGAAGGTGTGGCTACCCAAAGTCACAAACAAATGAGACAGACAGCCTCCTGGAGGTTATCTGCTGAGAGAGGACTGAAGGTAGCAACGGAAACAAACAAATGGACCCTGGAGAGATGCTACAGGGCTTGGCTGTGCTGGAAGGGCAGTTCACAGATTCCTGCTGCTGGGGGTCCTCACCTGTCTAGCGGTCTTGGCAGTGCTACCTCCTCACCCTCTTCCTAAACCACTGTGATAAGTTTCAGTTCCTGGAAGTTGGCTGTGTCCTAAGACACCCCGGCACAGGAGGCAGAATTTTTATTCTGTTATGGGATTTCTGTGATCAGCACCTTGGGATGGGCCCAAACCCCATCCCAATTCAGGGCCAGGATTGCTGCTAGCAGTTATAATCCCTTAGGAAAATTAGGCAATTCAATTTTTATAAAGCATCAGCCCCGACCCAAGAGGCAAGCCTTAGTACACCTAAACCAAGAACGTGTGCGTGGAGATGCATAAATGAGACTTACAGAGAGCTTCTTAATGTTTCCCAGGGCTTCGGGATCCAGTTGTGTGATATCGATCCTCCGTAAATCACTGGCCAGCAATCGCATGCTCTGTATGGAAGGGAGAGTGAGCTCAGTTGGCATGCCCTTTCTGGGGGAAGCCCAATCCAGCAGTACCAGGGGCCCCACGGGCCCCCTTGCTAATCTGCACCTGGTGGAGGGGGTGTCTCTAAGAAGACAATGACATCAGTCACTGTACACAGGCAAGCACACTAGCTGAGAAAGCCTGGCAGGCCACAACTGAGAACTGAGGTTACAACTTGTTCTTACTCGGCCCAGGGGAACTGGGCTCAGCCTGCTTCAGAACCGCTTTAGATTACACGAAGTTTGAAGACACACCCAGGTTCCTTGTTAGACTCAGCGCCCTGTATACTCCCCTGGATGTCTGTTGCGGCACCTATCATATAATGCTGCCAATTGTGCACCTGTCGATTCTGGCTACTGAACTGCTTTTCAAGGAAGCATGTCCTGCACATCCCGGGCTATAAGACAGGTGAGCAAGTATTAGCTGATGAGCAAATGGAACCCAGAGGGGGGGCAAGGGACTGCCCAGTCTGGGCCTTGAACCTGGGAAAGAACCTGAGCTCTGGGGCCTACAGAGTGTGCTCATTCTGGACGCATCAACTGAAATAACGCTGAAGGATAGAAGTGTCTCATGGACCCGGTGGCCTGGCTCCCCGCTGAAACACGTCACCTCTCCACCGCCCACTGGCACAGTGAGGAAAATCTCTTTGCTGTCAGCGAGAGGGCTGCCGTTCTTGGAAATGTTGTAAATCCGCTCTCTGGCTGCTGGGATGCGTAGACCTGGGGTCTTGAAGACCCTGTAAAGTGAGAGAATCACCGTGAAGACGTCTCGGCAACTTGAACGACAGATACCAGGCTCTTCCAACCCCATCTGGCCTCAAATGGCCTCTCTAAGAAGGCGACTTCTAAATTTGGGGAAATGGTTTTGAAGCGGTAATGACTAAGCACAGCTGGAGAAAGGAGGCTGTAATTATCAAACATACATCTAGCAGCAGTTACTCTGTAGCCATGTCAATTTTAGGTCCATAGCCCAGTATGGATGCCAGTCATCCACAAAGCCAGAAATAAACTCTGCTTAATGTGTTTCCAAGAGCGCCTGAGTGCTTCCATCAAGAGGAATTTTCTGGGCCAAACTAACTTTGTCAAAGTGGTTCAAATGCTGGTAACTGTCTTCCCTGAAATGTCTTTACTACATGTTCATGAGAAAAACAAATAGCAAAAAAGAGTGGCAATTCATGTGAAAAGTAAGTAAGTCTTCCTGGCCCTCCCCAGCCCAGGGGTAACCACTTCCTCCCCTGCTTCTAGAGGTCATCGGTCTTTGTTCCTTACGTGTCTCTTCAGAAACACTCGATTGTACATAGAAACAAATGAGGTTTCCCAGCATACACTGTTCTGCAACTTGCTTGGCGATGCTCCATGAACATTTAGATCTTACCAAAGGTTGGGAGTGAAAATTCACTCAGAGGTGCTTTGGAAGAAAGGCTTGGCGATTTTATTTAAAAAAATGAGCCACTGACAACCCTTCAGAGCACAGTTCTGCTCTCACGCACACGGACGGGGTCGCCATGAGTTGAAATTAACTCAACATCAACTGGTTTGGGAATGAAAGGTATGACTTAGGTCGCATTAACAGCCCTGTTCTTGTTGCCCTCCCAAAAGATGCCATCAACCACTTGGACACTGGCTACCCAAAATGAGGGGGTTACGAACCGCGAGGTCAGCAGTTTGAAACTACCAGCTGTTCCGTGGAAGAAAGATGAGGCTTTCTGCTCCCATAAAGATTTACAGCCTTGGAAACCCTGTACAGGGTCACTATGAGTCAGAACCGACTCCATGGCACATAACAACAACAACAAAGGCAAGAAGTGACTGGCTTACAAGCTTTCAAGAGGGAACCTAGATCCAGAGGGCTCGAAGGAAGGTAGAATCTCCAGAGTAGAATCTAATCTGTCTAGGCGGGGCTGATGAAAGGAGATGTGGATGGGTCTCTCTTGATACAATGGTGAATAATTGCAGGACTAATTGTGAGGATTGGGAATGTAAAGGTAGACATTTTGAAGCAAAAGGAGGGGAGTGATTGACTTTGCAGTCTAGGAGCAGAGGTCCCTGGGACCATCAAGGGAGAAGAGCGAAGAGTGGGACCCTACCCAGAGAAGCAGTGATGCCAGAGACGGAGGCAGAGACGACATGGAGAGATGGAGCAGCTGGGGACTTTAGACACAGAGAGGGAGAGGGACTGTGTGCTGACAACCAGGGGGTACGCTTGCAGGGTATACCCTTTTTGGCTGGTTGATGATGCACGGAGGGGACTGTAACCATGGCAATGAGATGATATACGGTAGGATGAATGTAAAGCTAATGTTCTCCCATGTAAACTATCACATAAATTACAATAAAACATTAAAAAAAAGATGCCACTGATTTTCACTCCTAGGTTCACAAAAGGTACAGGAGAGTGCCTACCCATTTAAAGTGGAATTAAAAAAAAAACTCTCATCAGAAAGAGCTCTGGTAGCGTAGTGGTTACAAATCGGGCTGCTAACCTCAAGGTCGGCAGTTCTAAACCACCAGTCGTTCAGCAGGAGAAAGATGAGGCTTTCTGCTTCCGTAAAGATTTGCAGCCTCGGAAACCCTGCATTGGAATCAACTCCACGGTACTTAACAACATCATCAGAATTAGAAAAGTTCAAAATTCATAGAAGCCACCAGGGTAAATGCTGTCTCCCTTCTCATCAACTGAAGAATCACTTTGCTACTAGAAATGGGTGGAATGGAAACCCATCCCCAGGGGAAAGACGAACACTGGAAAACACAGACATGGCGCCCCCTTCCGCCCTGGCTTTGCGGGATAAAGGAACTTAAACACTCCTTTTCTGATGAATGTTCAAGCCCAGGCTCTCAACACTCACCTTGAATCAAACCTGGGGGTCATGCCTGGTGTTGGTTTTATCATTGACAACTCCAGCCGGCTCATAGCTGGGGTAACAGTGTTACAACGGCTTGACCTACAGGTCAGAAGAAACAGCCATTAGGCACGTCAACTCTCAGTCTCAATAACGGCAGCAGCACATGCTACAAACCCTTGGAGAGGGTGCTGTGAGGTGCTGTTGTGAGCTGCTACACAGACCACCATGTAATCCGCCCAGTAATCTGAGGAGGGAGGCACCAGGATCGCCCTCATTTCAGAGATGACGAAGAAATCCAGTTTGAATAACCTGCCCCAGGTCGCATAGCAAAGTAAAGTAGAGCTAGAACTCGGACCCAAGAGTCAGCCCTGTAGCCATCTGTAGGCTCCCTCAGTTGGAGTCTCTCCCTGTCCTCTTGCTAGGTGGGTGGCTACTGCAGGGAGAAATGGTTCTCTAAGCTTGTCTGACATGTAGCAGTCTTGCCTCTGGACGAGCAGAGTCCAAAAACATCAGGTCAAGCCTGTGGTGAGTATTTACTTAGGAGGGCCAGAGGACATTTCCAGAAACTGCAGATGGTGGCAGCCACTTTATGGACTGCTAGGAAACTAAATTATCACCTGCAGTGCTCACTGTATTTTTATGGGTCTCTCTTTGTCCGAATTAAAAATAAAGTCAGGGAGGATGGTGGAGATGGGCAGAGACTTGGTGAAGGTTACAGGTTAGACCATTTCTAGAAGCCCCTCCAATTTCCTCAAGAATTCAGTGATTCTTAAGCTCTATTTGAATTCCAGCACAAAACCCCCCTTTATCCTTTATTTCTACCATAATGTACGACGCGGCTGTCCAGTGAAATCAAGAACGCATCTCCAAATGGGAAAACCTAGTACCTTTTGCTTTTGCCTTTTCCTTGTATGGACTGGACTCTCTTCCTGGATGGAGGACACCTTTTAACCTGAAACCACAAGCCAATGAGACGGAGGTTATAGAAAGCCCAGCACGGGAAAGGTAAGGAAAAGTAAAAAAGGAAGAAACGGGGGTGGGGAGGGGTAGAGAGTGGGGGGTGGAGGAGGGTCAGCTCTAGTTCTGGAAAAGAAAATGAATAGTAAAATATAAGAAGGGCTTCCTTACCGAATTGAGTGCTTTAAACAATTTAGTACATAACTGACAAACTAAGGGTTTCTATTGGCTGGATCTCCAGAATGTAGTCAGTCACTTTTGAACTTACTGTTGCCTGGCTGCCCCGCCCAACTTTATACAGTGTTGCCGTAAAGGTCACTAAAGTGCCCAATCCAAGGGACCCACCATAGTCCTCATGCTTCCTGATGCTGAGGTGCCTGATAACAGTCCTTCCCAGCCTTCTGGTAATTCTCATCTTCCAAGGCCCACCTTCCTTGCTTGTCTGGCTGGCCCTCACCATCTGCCTTATTTGCTCTTTCTCCTTTGCTCCTACAGTCCATCCTCAAGGCCCTGCACAACCTCACCTGCTCCCACACTTGGACCAGCACCTGAAGATCTGGGAGCTAGTGTCTCTCAATTTCCTACTTCCTCCTGAGCCCCAGGCTGACCCGTGTTTAGCCTAGATGTCCTGGAGGAGGAGTAAACACCCAACGTGGCCAGTGCCACTCTTCCTTCTGTAGCCCACATATTATTTTACCCGATGGCCGCTGCCTAAGCCAGAAACTGCCTGGTCATCTGGGGTTCTTCCACCAGACCTGCTCCTTCAGCTTCACCACCCCTTCTTTCTCTAAAGTGCCAGTACCTCAGCTTAAGAAGCATAATCACTTGCGGGCCCTGGGCTTCTGTAGGAGGGGAGGCAAGCTCTGTTGGGATAGGGACAGTGGGGCTGGGGTACAGCATGGTGAATGCAGGTGACACCACTTAAGTGGACATGCACAACAGGTGGAAACAGCAATTTTTTGGTGCTAATGTACTTCACCATAATTTCTTTAAATCACATGATTTTTATAGGTTTTACCTTTGCTTCACAAACTAAATGATCCAGAACCACATTTAAAGTTGTAAAAATATACATACAACTTTTCTTTAAAAGTACAATAACCTTCCAATTGATTTACTTGTCTCTAGTTTCTCCCAGATCCCCCATCTATCCTAAATACTGTTTTCTGAAATACTGATCTCATCATATCGTTTCCTGTTACCTACTCATTGAAAGTCAAACTCCCATTTTTGGCAAACAAGACCACCCAGTCTCAGTTCTCTGCTCTACCCACATTCCCCTCGCAATTTACTGTAGCCCAGTCAAACCAAATGACTTCCTGCACCCAGGTGGACAATATACTCTCTCCACGTCCCCAGAAGTTTCTTTACTTTCTCTCCAGCAAGGGAAACCTCACACACCCTTTAAGGCCTAGCTATATGTAAATGGCAGGAGAAAGATGAGGCTTTCTGCTCCCACAAAGAGAACCGACTTGATGGCAATGTCCTAATGGGGTAGTGAAAACTCGACAGTTTCTGCCTCTTTGCCTCTATTATTACTTTCGTTATTTATCGTTTACAGTGGGATCTTCCCTACTAAACTTTTAATTCTAGGAGGGCAACAAGTGTTCTTTGTATTTCGTTAGGCCTCTTAGCCTTACCCCCCAACCTGAGTGCCTACTTACTCTTGTAGCCTGAGAATTCCTTGTTGTATTTTCTTCTTCTTCCGCTATCATTTCATCCACTTGTAGGGCTTTTCTGGCTGTAAGAAAGTTTAACTGTGTGATATTTCTGGGGGGAATAAACTTGCATGCATTTTACATTTCTTCCAAGGAATAATGCTTTATGTAATCTTAAGTGGTAATCAAGAAATAGACCCAAAGTGAAGAGTATGATTTAAAAAAATGAGAATTTAGATCAAAAGACCAGGACACCCCATGCAAGGCCTGATAGTGGCAGCCTGGCGTTGATTCCGAGGGCAGACTCGAGTCCTGATACTACCACTCACTAGACCACAGAGCTTTGATTGCTCTGTGCCTCCGTGTCCGCATCTATACGAGGGAGTAGTCCCTATAGAGGGATAGTGTGAGGCATGTCCCTACAGACACAACAGTGTTATGTTTAGTCTTGTATCCCTAAACCTTAGCACTGTGCCTGGCACACAGGAAGAAACTATCAAACATTTGTGGAATGAATGAATGCATGTAAAGTCTTTTGGGTACCCGACACAGAAGAAACTTTCTCAAGTGTCCTAATAGTGATAAATGATCAGTTCAATGGTCTTATTAGCAGGAGGTGGTGTGCCGTTGAGTTGATTACAAATCACAGCGACTCTGTATCCAGTTTCTGTGGCTTTTAAAAAAAACCTTTGCAGGAACACAAAGCCTCATCTTTTTCCTGCGGAGTAGTTGTTGGGCTCGAGATACACATCCGAGAACTTCTCACAGGGAAAATAGATGTGTGTATATATATACATACATATATATACACACCCATATGTATATGTGTATATATTTATTGTTCTTGTTGTTAAGTTCTGTCAACTTGGTTGCAACTCATAGTGACCCCATATAGGGTTTCTGGAGACCAGCTGGTGGGTTTGAACTGCCAACTTCACAGTAAGTAGTCCAATGCTTATCCTGCAACACTATACCAGAATGCTCCAGACTGATAATAGAGGAAATAATTACAATTTTTAATATTTGATGTTTCCTGTGACGCTGTGGGATAATGCACTGGACTGCAAGGTTGGTAGTTCAAATTCACCAGCCACTCCTTGGAAAGCTAAGTTCGGACATATTGTCAAGAGGGACCAGTAGCTTGAGAAGCATATCATGTTTGGTAAGGTGGAGGGTCAGAGAAAAAGAGGAAGACACCCAACGAGATGGATTGGCCAAGTGGCAGCATTGATGGACTCAAGCGTGGCAACAGTAGTGAGGCTGGTCCAGGATTGGGCAGTGTTTCGTTCTGTTGTGTATAAGGTCGCTATGAGTCGGTACCGACTCAATGGCACCTAACAACAACACAGGACACCAAATAGCAAAACTAGTGTCCACATCTCAACACCACAAAGAAATGGCTCAAAATTGAGAGTTTTCAAATAGTCTTAGCTGTCTAGTGAATAAAAAGTACTGAGTGTCCAACTGCTAATTATGTACAGCCAGAATCTAGACTTTCTTAAGCAGGGCTTCGGCAGAGAAAACTCATGCATTTCATCATGGGGAGAGACATCAAACAGCTTGTAAGCATTTTCTTTTCTTCCTGTTTTTAAAAAACACTCAGTGGCAACTCTGACACATGAAATAAGGAAGAGCACAGATGCAACTTTACTGGCTGGTTGCTATTGGTACTGGTGTCTTCAGTTCCCTGAAGTGGATCAGAATGTCTCCCTTACTGGCCCACCCACCAGACATCTCAGCACAAATGCTGAGTTCACTTTGTAGAAAGCAAACAAATAGTACACCCACTCCTGCACACACACACTCCACCCATCCACCTCTCCCCACACACCCCCCAAGTAAGCACAAACTAGTGCAGCTTAGAAACCGACCAGATAACCTAAAGTGTTGAAAGGACCCATGGTGACCTAAGAGATTGTATTTATGTCACTGGGAAACTCTGGGAACACCCTAGTCCAATGACATCATCATCTTCATCATCCCAGGGAGGTAGGCCTGGAATCCGACATTAGGAAAGCAGACATGCTTTCTTCATGGACAAAGAGCCGGAACAAGAACTCGACAGCATTTCTGGACCGCCCTGGTGTAGACTGTATCCTGGGGCAGCCATGAAACTCAGGCCCTGGTCAGGCCTGTGCTCACAAGAGCTAGATAGAGCTTAGTGACTAAGACACTCACGCCACATCAGTCTGCCTGAGTCCACGCTCAGGAGCCTGGATTATAAACCTGGCTTCCCATGTCACTTTTCCAATAAGACAGCATTTCCCAAGTGTGGGACAAGTGGGAGAGATGATGTTACATAGATAGGTCACGAGATTGGGTAACACAGAATTATGTACTGAGAAAGTGATTCCACACTTGACCACACAAAGAAGAGATGCAGTTTGTTATTACTATGTCTGTAACACCTCTCTAAATCTTGCGATGCAAACAATGATTGTTTCCAGCTATAACGTGTGGAATCCTCCTGTTCAGTCTAACCTGAGTCCATGTTAATAATCTGGGTAAATAATTTGGTCTTGCTGTTGGTGCCTGAGGCCAACGAGTGGAAGCTGATCAGACAAGAATCATTGAGGGCCCACTATGACCAGGTGTAAGGAGGCAGAGGCAGGATGTAATCTATCAAGGCCAGTGGGAAAGCTAATAAAAACCTCAGAAGACGTTGGCTCGGGGTAGCTTCTGGGTTGGTGAGAGCCAACATCTGCTCTAGGGAGGGTAAATGCATCTCGAGGACATGGAAACTCTGCGCCCTTGTGCTTGTATCTTTTTTTCTTGCTTGATTACAGAGCACTTTCCCTGGAGGACAATTCATTATACTTGAGAAACAGAGAAAAGGCCAGTGTCAGCTGACCGAGCTCTGAGTGAAAGGAGATGAGAGACAAGGAGCTGCGTGGAACATACAGGGTCTGAACTACCCAGGGAAGGGAAACTGAGATTTCTACAGGACACAGTTGGTATGTGGAGTGAGCGTTTTTATCTATCACACATTGGACACCAGACATGGCTGATCTCAGCCTCCCTGAACTGGTCTGACACTGATTTACAAACCAGCACAGTTCCCCCACTTCCCCTTTAGCTCACAAACTAGTCACACATCAGTACAACTGAGACAGTACAATCAAAGGACTGTAGTCACCAAAATCAAATTTCTGGGCTGACAAGACTGAAGATCAGGCATTGGAGAAGGGGCTCCACCAATGAGGCCCTGTTTGAACAGCCAACCAACCATCCTGGACATCAGAATTCTCAGCTTTACAAAGGGTTCAAAAAGTACTCACTTTTGGCAGATTTTAAGGGTGTCTGAATAGCTTCTGCTGTTAGCTTGTTAATTTCTGTGATATCAAGGTCAGCCTGTGAGGAAGACAGCCAGAAAATACCAGATCCATCAGATGAGGAACAAATTCAAATTAAAAAAAAAGTTACTCTGATTTTAAACATGCAAGAACATTATACTAGTTGTAACAAAATACCCAGACTCTGTTAATCCCACCACTTAACCCCAGACCTAGAACATTTGCTTCTAGCTATGTATTCCTTCCCTATTCCATTTCCTTGGCTCTCCCCTACAAGAACCACTATCTTAACCCTCTCGTTCCAAAAAGGTAATCACTATCAATCCATTTGCTTTTGAAAAAAGCACCTCTCTCTATATATATATACTATAGAGAGCCCTGGAGTCCTGGAGTGGTGCTGTGGGTTAATGCGCCAGACTGCAAATCTGTTTGAACTGCAAGGTCGGCAGTTCAAGCTCACCAGCCGCTCCTCAGAAACCCTATACAGGGTTGTTATGGGTCAGAATCGACTTGACGGCACTTAACAACAACATAGGGAGCCCTGGTGGTACTATGGGTTAGCCACTGTACTACTAACCACAACATTGGCAGTTCAAACCTACCAGCTGCTCTGCAGGCGACAGCTGAGGCTGGCTGGTCCTAAGATTTAGTCTTGGAAACCCCATATAGGGTTGCTATGAGTTGGAACTGACTCAGTGATAATGAGTTTTGGGTATTTATATTAAATATACATGTTGTTTGTTGTTGTGTCATTGAGTTGGTTCCGATCCATAGTGACCCTGTACAGGGTTTCTGAGGAGCAGCTGGTGAGCTTGAACTACCAACCCTGGGGTTTAAACTGACTTTGTAGTCCAGTGCATTAACCTGCAGCATCACACCAGGACTCAAATATACATGTTGTTGTTGTTGTTAGGTGCCATCGAGTCGGTATTGACTCATAGTGACCTTATGCACAGCAGAATGAAACACTGTCTGATCCTGGGCCAACCTCACTATGTTGCCATGCTTGAGTGGCAACTTGGCCATTCCATCTCGCCAGGGGTCTTGTATGTTAATGTCTATATATAAACATTTCACAAAAGTATGTGTATACTTATTAATTAATTTATTTAGTTTTCACTGCGGTGTAACATTCCACTGTGTGGCTGGACCACAATAGTGTTTCCCTTTCTTCCTTCTGTAGTTTCACTGCTATTACAAGTACTGCTTCTTTGAACTTTATACATGTGTGGTGCTGGTGGTTAATGTGCTAGACTGCAAAGTCGGTTTGAACAAGGTTGGCGGTTCAAGCTCATCAGCTGCTCTTTGAAAATAGGATCACTATGGGTCAGAACCGAATTGACAGCACTTAAACAACAAGAGGTAAAGGGTAAGGTTGCTAGTGGCACTGTAGGATAAGCACTGGGCTGCTAACTGCAAGGCAGACAGTTCAAATCCATCAGCTGCTCTGTGGGAGAGAGGTGAGGCTTTCTGCTCCGTAAAGATGTCTAGCCTTGGAGACCTTGCACAGGGTCATTATGAACTGGAACAGACTGGATGGCACCTAACGACAGGGAAAGGGTAAGAAGGCTTGGTGACACTTAAACACTCAGCTACTAACTGAAAGGTTGACGGTTCAAACCCACCAGCTACCATATGGGAAAACGATGTGGCAGTCTTGGAAACCCTATAGGGTTGCTCTGAGTCGGAATCAACTGGCCGGCAGTGAGTGCCCATGTAAACAGCCCTTAATCAAAACCCTGACTATAAGTCTCTAGCAAACTTCCCAGGTCGGAAGCATTTCATCTGCATTGCTGTAACTTGTTAGTGAAGAAATCGTGTCTGCGTGACTCTATGGAGCCCTGGTGTAGTGGGTGAAGTGCTGGGTTGCTAACTGCAAACTCATGGTTCAAACCCAGCAGCCAAACCGCAGGAGAAGGATGAGGCTGTTGGCTCCCGTAAAGACAGTCTCGGAAACCCCAAGGAGCAGTTCTACTCTATCCGACAGGGTCACTATGACTTTGAATTGACTTGATGGCCGTGGGTGGGCCTCACTGGGAGAGGACTCTTGGGAGCTTATTCCCGATTTCCTCTCACCATTGCCACAGGCACTGCTTCCCTTGGCCAATGCTGCTTTGTATCCTTTCACTGTATCAAATCATAGTACAACTATATGGGGAGCCCTGTGCACCCTAACAAACCATCAAAGCTGAGGGCAGTCCTGCGGCTCCTGACACACCTACCAGTTAAGAGCATCCATATTCAAGTGTCATTTTCCCCCTCCCTACCCAGGGTTTAAACACTAGAATTCTCTCAACTTGGTGTGATGACCTAGGATATCATGTTATTATCAGAAGCTCTGGTTTGTGTTATGTATGTCTGATTAATTTCTTTAAAGGTTGGGAGCAGCATTAGCTAATGAGTATAGATTCTCTTGGGATGTATGTTTTCTGAAGCAGTAAATCTGGGCATGCATGAGAGTGAAGAGTGAAGAAAATGGATAACAGAAACACCTTACAAAGGAGCAAGCACGGACTAAGGATGTTTTACTAGCTCTTGATTTTATTTTTGTTATCCCCACCTCTCTTATTTGCTGTTGAGTGCCATCGAGTCGGTTCTGACTCATAGTGAGCCCGTGTAGGGTTTCCGAGGAGCAGCTGGTGAGCTTGAACCACCAACCTTGTGTTTCAATCTAATCCTGCAGTCCAGTGCATTAACCCACAGTTGTTGTTATTAAGTGCCATTGAGTCAGTTCTGACCCATAGTGAACCTGTATAGGGCTTCCGAGGAGCAGTTGGTGAGCTTGAACTGTCAAACTTGTGTTTCAAACCGACTTTGCAGTCCAGTGCATTAACCCACAGCGCCACTAAACAACTTTTTTCTAATTTACTCTTAACATCTGAAGATAGTGGTAGTGGTGGTGGTTATGTGCCGTGGACATAATAGCGACCCTGTACAGGGTGTAGACCTGCTATTCAATATAATGTACCTTCTATGGAGTCCTGGCGTGGCTCTGTAGTATAAGCACTGGACTGTTAACCACAAGGTTGGAGGTTCAAACCTACCAGCCGCTCCTCGGACACCCTATACAGAGTCGCTATGAGTCTGAATGACTTGACGGCACTTAACAACAATGTATCCTCGGTAGTCAAATGCCTTCAAACTCTGAGGTCCTAAAAGATTCTGAACAACTCTTCAAGGATGCAGAGTTTTGGGTCATTTTGTAAATCCGATGAAGGCTATGATAAACTTTCTCCCCAGAAAACTGCACAAACACACACACATTATTTAGTACCTAGGGACTCTGGGAAGCTAGCCCAGTCTGACAGAAATTTGTGTTGTAGATATGTTCTCTTATCTGTGTACAAATAATCAGTACAGTATTGTGTTAACCCAATACTGTACTAATTATTTGTGGCTATAGAACACTCGAAATGTGGCATGTCTGAGAACAGAATTTTACATTTTATTCAGTTTCTAATTATGTATATGTTACATGTGCTGTGGTGGTTTCAAGAGTTAAGCACTGAGCTGCCAACCAAAGGCTGGTGGTTTGAACCTACCCAGCGGCTCTAGGAGCCACAGATCTGGTAATCTATTCCTGTGAAGATTTCAGCTTAGAAAAACCCTAGGGGGTAGTTCTACTCTATCACACGGGCTACTATGCATTGGAATCAACTTAACAGCATTAACAATAACAGTGGCTAATGGGCAAAACAAACCCTTTATTTGGTCTCCCCACTTACTGCATTAGTCTTAGTGCTGATGTGGGGGTGATAGAGATGAGTAGGGAGAGGGCCAACTAAGGTGGGTGGTCTTAGAGAGTTGCAAGTAAGAGCCCTGTTTCTGTGGTCTGACACGACAAAGCAACAGTCTCTATTGTCCAGTGGCTGGACCACAGTGTAATGATGCAGCGACACAGGCTTACGGCTCTCTTATTTCCCTCTGCAGAACACAGGGCAAAGAGCTGCAAGGAACCTGTTAGCAATACAACTGCTGCCCTTCTTAGCGCTTAAGCATATTTGGGCCTCTTGTCCTCAGTGTTTGATACAATTATAAGCTTTTAGTTGACATGAACAGATAGTGTCTTCTATGGAACCTCTTCCACAGTAACTACCCAGTGGTTGTATTTTGTGACTGGACTCTAGAACCAACCAACAGTTTCAAAAACAGGAGCGGTCACTTACTGTTGCTGCTTCTTCCAGGGCCTGCTTGTTTCCTCCCAGGGCTTGGAAAAGAACACGTTAATTAGTTCTTACAGATTTCAACGCGAACCCACCTTTCCTAACACTGCCAATTAGCTTTCAAAAACTAGACCAACACTCTAGGGCCATCATAATCTAGTCCTTCTCCCACCCTGACTGTTCCCCATGACCCACTCAATATTTATGGGTTAAATTATGTCCCCGCAAAACACAGGGGGCTTCAAAAAAGCTCATGGAGAAATGGAATGAAACATAAGGGAATGTTTCCATGAATTTTTTGAAGGCAGGGTTAGTGTAAGGTGTGTCTTGAGTCAATCTCTTTTGAGACACAAAAGAGATGAAACAAGTGAGCAGAAGCAGAGCCAGGGGAAGAGATGTCAAGCCACAAGAAGCCTGTCTGGGAGAAGCTCAGAGAACCAGGATCTTCCTCCAGAGCCAGCAAAACAGCAAGCCTGCCCCTAGAGTTAGCACCCTGCATTCAGGGTTACAGCTTCCAGGGCTGTGAGAAAATAAACTTTTATTAAAGCCACCCATCTGTGATAGTTTTGTTATAGCAGCACGAGATTACTAAGACATTTATGTTCCATCACATCAAATCTCACCATTTCCCAAACGTGCCACCATCTCTCTTGACAAAGGGCCCTAGAACTTATTTTCTCTGTCTGGAATACTACTCGGCACTCAACACATTCCCAGTTCATTCTTCAAAACTCTGCTCACACATCACCTCCTAACAACAGGCTCTATTATGGAGCAAGCTGTCCCAGCCTTTACAATTCCTCCTCTACAGAGAGGGAAACGGAGGCCACAGACATGAAGTAACTTGAGGAAGACCACAGAGCTGGACTATGAAAGAGCTTGAATTTGAGCTCAGATTTGCCCTGATCCCTGCAAACGATTTTTCTCTCACAGTAGGTTGCTGCAAAGTATTGAGGGGAGTGCTCCCCTGCTTCCTACCCAATAACTACTCAGAGCTGAAGTGTACACCTTTGCCGTGACTGTGGATTCTCTGAAGACAGCTATAATATCCACAGCGTCAAGCAATAATCTGGCATATAGTAATGGGTAGTAAATGTTTGTAGAATGAAGAGGTATTTACAAGATTTAGATGCAGAATTAAAAAGTTCAGTTTAGGTCCTCCTGTTAGAAATTCTCATAGTATCTGCATACCAGTCCAGAACTCAGGCTTTGGATCCAGAATACCTGGGTTCAATAGATTCTGCCACCAACCAGTTTAGGAGACACCTCAAGCAAAGGAACTACCCTTTCTATGTCTTAATCCTGTCATTTAGAAAATAGGGTTAATATTAATAAGCTTGTTAATGGGGATTAAATCCATTCATGTGAAACATTTGATACAATGCCTATCCAGTAATGTTATTAAGTGCCATCGAGTCGGTTCCAACTCCTAGTGATCTTGTACAGGGTTTCTGAGGAGCGGCTGGTGAGTTTGAACCATATCAAACGGACTTTGCCGCCCTACGCATTAACTCACAGCACTATTGTTGTTGTTGTTAAGTGCCATGAGTCGGTTCCTACCCATAGCGACTCTGTATAGGGTTTCCAAGGAGTGACTGGTGAGCTTGAACCGCTGACCTTGTAGTTGAAATGGTTTTTCAGTCTGGCGCATTAACCCACAGTGCCACACCAGGATACCCACAGCACCACAGGAAGCACTAAATTTTTATGCTAACTGGTGGACACTCTATTCCAGTAGCACTTATAATAATTTTAACTATAAAATCCTGCGTAAAACATTGAATCACCCTTCTACACCAACCTGTAAGTGTGTGAGGGCATGGACAATGTCTGTTTTATTTTCCAGTGCATCTTAGCACTTAGCACTGTGACTGACAAATGATCAAGGGCAAGTAGAAACAATCACTAACTATCTATCTACCTTGTGAACAGAGGAATCCCTGGGTAATGCACACAGTTAATGCACTTAGTTGCTGATCAAAAGATTAGAGGTTCAAGTCTGCCCAAAGGTGCCTTGGAAGAAAGACCTGGTGATTAGATCTTCTAAAAACAAAAACTGATCTCTGAAAACCCTCTGAGCATAGTTCTATTGACTGACACACATGGGGTCGCCGTGAGTCAGAACTGACTTAATGGCAACTGGCTAGTGAGAAGAAAACATGTGTTTTTATCTATGAGGGAGGCCATATGCTAGGTGTTATTATGTTATCGTTAAGTGTTGTCAAGTCGGTTCTGACTCAAAGTGACCCTATACAGGGTTTCCGAGGAGGGGCTAGTGGGTTTGAACTGCCAACCCTGCATTTAGCAGTCCAGTGCTTATCCTACAGTGCCTCACCAGAACTCCATATACTGGGTAATTAAGGAAAATTAAAGCTCACCTAGCAGGAAGGACAGCATCCCGCATTCTTCAGATGTTTAACAAGGCGATGGGAAACTAGGCTAGGATTTTTTCCCTGGCAACTGTTGAGTCTTTACATTTCAGAATTTAATTTGCCCATTGTGCAATCAGCAATTTCTATAAGCTGCAAAAAGAGCTCCCTAGTGCTTACACTTACAGCTCTAAAAACAAACCGAGTTATTCACTCATTCATTTAATAAAGGTTTTTGGAACACTTAGTACCTGTCAGGTCCTTTTAGCTACAGATTAAAAAAACAGATAAAAGTTCCATTTTTGAGCTTGCATTCTTGATTGTGGATGAGAAGACAAGCAATTATCTATAGTATTTTATAGTATAAGATGTATTAGGTTAAAATCTGTAGTAAAAGATGAATTAGTTAGATCAGGAATGAAAAGCTGTTCCCACCTGCTTTGGTATGGCCTATGCACTCAGAATGGTTTTTACGTTTTTTGAATAGTTGGAAACAATATCAGAAGACTATCTGTTATGTCAAGTGCTGTCGAGTCAGTTCCGACTCATAGCGATCCTGTACAGGGTTTCCGAGGGTGTAAATCTTTACGTGAGTAGAAAGCCTCATCTTTCTCCCACGGAGCGGCTGGTAGTTTCGAACCGCTGACCTTAAGGTTCGCAGCCTGATTCGTAACCACTACGCTACCAGAGCTCCTTAAAAGACAATCTAGTGATATGCAAAAATCATGTGAAACTCAAGTTTCTGTGTCCATAAATAAAGTCAGATTGGAGCACACAGCCATGCCCATATGCCATAGTTGCTTTGGCACTGTAACAGCAGTTTAGTTATAACAGAAACCCTCTGCCCCATAGAGTCTAAAATATTTACTAACTGACTCTTTACTGGCAAAGTCAGCCTAACCCTGAGTTAGATGATGGTCCTGGTGTAGCTAATGTGCTGGACTGCAAAGACGGTTTAAACAGCAAGGTCAGTGGTTCAAGCTTACCAGCTGCTCCTTGGAAACCCTATACTGATTCGATGGCACTTAACAATGAACAAGTGCCATGGAGGAAAATAAAGCAAGGGGAGCTGGGAGAGGGGCAGTGGGCTGCAGCTTTCAACGGCAGTCATGACAGAACTCACAAAGTTGACATTTGAGGGGTTCTTTCTGGAGGTTGTCTCTACAAGCACAGAGGAGCTCCAGGTTTTGATCTGGGGAAACTCCAGCAGATCTTACCGAAGTACTCGAGCCAGTTCATCTCCCGCAGCGCCATGGGGAGCCGCAGGATCTCGATGTTGTAAAGGTTGTCCATCTCCTTGAGGAGGTTCTGCCTGTCGGATTGGATTTGCTTGGATCGGATTTGCACTGTGAAATTGAGGCACGGTCAGTCAGTGGGGTGCTTGGGGCTCTGAATCCGTGCTTGCTGCATTCCAACCCGCCAGGACACAAAGATCTTCCCAGGTAGGCACCAAGACCCGGGCCCCGCCCCTTACCTTCCCGGTCGAAGTCTTTGAGAAAGGAGGAGAGCTTCCGGCTCCTCAACGAATTGGTCTTAGTCGCCCGACTGCTGCCCTTCCTAGACGGAGCCATGGCGCTTCCGTGGAAGCTGTGGGCCCGAAAGACAAAGTGTCAGTGGGGAAGAGGACCTAAGGAAACCGCAAAGGGAAGGGGAGGGCAGACGAGGACCCAAGGGAGCCAGTAGGGAACCCCCCTCCCCTTCTTCGGGACCTGGGCAAAAGGAAGGTGTGAGTCATGTACCTGAGGGTCCCAAAACAAGGGCTGAGAAAAACCTCGCTGCTCCACCAGAGAAAATATCCGCTCCGTGGCTAACCGGACATGCGACCGCCGCCACTAAATTCAAACTCAACTGCTACAGGTCGACGAATGAGAAATCGCCGTCTTAGAAAGGTCCCCCAACATCCAATCACTAGGAAGCACTACACTCTGCCAGCCAGTCCAAGCGGAGAACTACAATACCCAGGAGTCATTGCGATCGAATGATGTATTTCCGTGCCGACGAAACCGCGGCAGCTTGAGTTTGTGCTTTGTGGCATGCGCAGAGAAACCGGCGTGTCCTTTTTTTTTTTTTCCTTACGGTAACTATCAGTTTATCCTTCTAATTTAAGGAAAGCAGTGGGCCACCTGAAGAAGAGGAGACAAGATTCCAGCTCCAGTAGCACGAGTCTAAGGGTGAGACAGAATTTGGGCGCCAGGAATCCACACTGAAATAGGAGACTGCTCTTTCCCTGGGGGAATAGTCGGGAAACCCTTCTTGAGGTTGAAAACAAGGACCTGTCTTTCAGAGGCACTCCTTTCTGAAAGAATAAACACCTTTACCCGAGGAAACTCTGTGTTAAGGGTGGAGACGGACAGCTTGACTTGACAGGAGACCGGCGTTAACTCCCACCCTTGACACAAGTACGTCCCCTCGCGTCTTGGGGTCCGTCCTTAAGGCTGTTTTCTTTTGTTTCTGTTTATTTCCACAGACCATGACTCAAGACCGGCCTTTGCTGGCTGTGCAGGAGGCCCTAAGGAAGTGCTTTCCGGTGGTGGAGGAGCAGCAGGGCCTGTGGCGGAGTACGCTGAACGACTGCCTGCCGCTGCTGGCCTCTCTCAGCAACCTGGCGGAGCAGCTGCAGGCGGCCCAGAACGTGCGATTCGAGGAGGTGCCGGCCCTGCGCGCCTTCCCAGACTTAGAGGAGCGGCTGAGGCGCAAGCAGCTGGCTGCCGGGGACACTGTCCTGGACAAGCTGGCTGAGCGCCTGTAAGGGGCTCCCCAATGCTCTTTCCTCCCAGAAAGGTCTTAAAAACTGAGAGTATGCGAAGTGTTGAATCCTCGAGAGGATGGGACTTGGTGTCTCAGCCTTCCTCCTTTTCCCATCTGTTGCTGTGGGACCTCTGTTGCCTCAGAGACAGGCCTGGCAGTGGGGATTTCGTTGTTGTTAGGCACCATCAAGGATTTATGTTGTTGTTAGGTGTACTGTGAGTTGGTTTCGATTCCTAGCGATTCCTATGCACAACAGAGCGAAACACTGTTGGGTCCTGCGCCGTTCTCAACAGTTGTTACATTTGAGCCCATTGTTTTTGCCACTGTGTTAATTCATTTCGTTCTGGGTCTTCCTTTTTTTTCCCCCGATGGCCCGCCATTTTGCCAAGTTTTGATAACTTCTCCAGGGACTGGTCCCTCCTAATAACATGTCCAAAGTTGCCATCCTGGCTTTTAAGGAGCATTCTGGTTGTAATTCTTCCAAGACAGCTTTGTTCCTCTGGCAGTCCATGGTATGTATATTCAATGTTTGCCCACACCGTAATTCAGAGGCTTCAATTCGTCTCTGACCTTCCTTATTTTTCTTTTCTCTGGCTTTCATTTTTTTAATGAGGCAGTTGAAAATATAGATTGGATCAGGTGCACCTTAGTCCTCCAAGTGACAACTTTGCTTTTTAACACTTTAAAGAGGTCTTCTGCAGCCGACTTGCCCAGTATCTTTTGATATTTTGATTTCTTGACTGCTACTTTCATGAGCATTGATTGTGAATCCAAGTAAAATGAAGTCCTTGACTACTTCAGTCTTTTCTTCATTTCTCATGATGTTGTATATTGGTTCAGTTGTGAGGATTTTTGTTCTCATTGTGTTGAGGTTTAGTCTATACTTAAGACTTATTCTTTGATCTTTAAGAGCAAGTGCTTCTAGCCCTCTTCACTTTTAGCAAGCAAAGTTGTACCATATCGCAGGTTGTAAATGGATCATCCTCCAATCCTAGTGCCACATTCTTCATATAGTTTAGCTTCTTGGATTATTTGCTCAGCATACAATTTAATAACTGTGACAAGCCACACAACTGTAAATAATAAAGCTGGGATTCCAATCTAAGTATGGGGTTCTTTGGGGATGATGAGACTATTCTAAAATTAGATAAGAGTAATATGTGCACAACTCTGAATAAGAACCGTGGATGTTTACATTGAAAAGAAGTACATTTGATGGTATGTGACTTGTGTTTCAATTTGTTGTTGAGTATGTACAGAGCAAGACAAGCCGTTTCTACACATAAACACTCAGTGACGTTGGGGATGTTTTCAACTTGTGCAACCATTCTCACTCGTGTTTTCAGAGTCCTGTCCTCCCCTCCTCCACCCCCACTCCCCCATTAACATACTGCCTCCTACAGTTCCTATGTAATCTTTCAAGTTGCTGTTGTCTCTTTGATTCCATGTTGTTGTCCGGTGCCATGGAAACTGCACAGCAGAAGTAAACACTGCCTGGTCTTGCGCCATCCTCCCACTCATTGTTACACTTGAACCCATTGCTGCTGTGCCAGTCCATCTCACTGAGAGTCTTCCTCCTTTTCGCTGACCTGCCACTTTACTCAGTATGATGCCATTCTCCGGGGACTAGTCCCTCCTGATTATATGTCCAAAATATGAGAGACGACATGTCCTGGTGGGGCGCTGCAGAATAATGTACTGTTAAACAGGATAATGGCACTGCAGGATAATGTGTGAGGTTGGCTGCTCCTTGGAAACTGTACAATGTTGCTATGAGTTAGAATCGACTCAATGGCACTTAACAACAACAACGAGAGACGAAGTCTCGCCATCCTGGCTTCTAAGGAGCATTCTGGTTTACTTCTTTCAACACAGATTTGTTTGTTCCTCTGACAGTCCATGGTACTTTTAATATTCTTCTCCAACACCATAACCCAAAAATGCATCAATTCTTCTAGTCTTCCTTATTCATTGTCCAACTTTCACATACATATAAAGCTATTCAAAATACCATGGCTTGCGTCAGGTGTGCCTTAGTCCTCAAACTGACATCTTTGCTCTAGAACATTTAAAGACATCTTGTACAGCAGATTTACCTAATGCAGTGCATCATTTGATTTCTTGTCTGCTGCTTCCATGAGTGTTGATAGTGGATCCAAGAAAAATGAAGTTTTTGACAACTTCAGTCTTTCTTCCATTTATCATGATGCTATTTATTGATGCAGTGGTGAGGATTTTTGTTTTCTTTACATTGAGATGCAACCCATATTGAAGGCTATCGTCTTTTAAGTCCTCTTTGCTTTCAGCAAGCAAGGTTGTATCATTTTCATATCACAGGTTGTTGAGTCTTACTCCAATCCTGATGCTGTGTTTTTCATATATTCCAGCTTCTGGGATTATTTGCTCAGCATACAAATTGAATCAGTATGCTGAAAGTATATAACAAGTGTCCCCTCCTTCTGTTCCAATGACTTTCTTGGTCTATGTATAGGTTCCTCATGAGCACAATCAAGTGTTCTGGAATACTCATTCTTCTCAGTGTTATTCATAGCATGTCAAGATTCACATAGTCAAAAGCCTTTGCATAGTCAGTAAAACACAGGTAAACATCTTTCTGGTATTCTCTGCTTTCAGCCAAGATCCAACAGACATCAGCAATGATATCTCTCATTCTACGTCCTCTTCTGAATCTGGCTTGAACCTCTGGAAGTTCTCTGTTGATATATGGTTGTAGCTTTGAAATTATCTGCAGTAAATCTTTACTCACATGGGATATCAATGATATTGTCCGATGATTTCCTCATTCCATTGGGTCACATCTCTTTGGAATGGGCA